CCCGTTGTAGGCAGAGCACAGATAGCCCATTGTGTAGCTTTGTGCTTAATTCCAAATAAACAATACTTTTTTTATTAATTTTTTTTAATGATAATGTATTTATTGGTGTGACTTACAATAATTAGTTAATAACACTGAGGCCCCCCAGTGGCACTGTGGTATGTCTGCGGACTTATAACGCTAGAAACTGGGTTTCGATACTCGTGGTGGGCAGAGAACAGATAGCCCAAACTATAACAAACTAATAATAACAATGGGACAATAAAACTGATAACAGTGGCTGTTATGTCTGTTAAATAGAACATATTACTTTTGAATAGTGAAAAATTAAAAAATGACATCTTCATTAAAAATGGAATTACTGCTTATTATTGATTTTAAATTATCTCAAAAGAGAAAGGAAGAATAAGGTAATGAATTATTAAGTAAAACTATCCCATTGTTTGCATTCAATACCACTGCATTTGTTTCAATTCATGATTGTTAAAATATCCAAATAGTGTCAAATAATACAATGAATAATCCAGCTGAAAGAATAAACAGTGCAATAATACAAAAAGGAAACAAAATGAAATGCTTGAAATATTCGAATAGATCTTCAATCAAATTAAGTTGATGTATTTAGAAATACAAGTTGTATGGCAAAAGGTGAAATGTCAAAACAATTTTGGAGAGCCTGTTTTGCAGGAGATAACCATTGTTTGAGAAATCAGAGTAAACATTTATTTTTTAAATAAAGGAAACAAAAATGACACATAAAAAGAAAACGTGCCCTATGTGAAGACAAATTGCACATGAGAATACATGTATTGAATCAGTAGTTTCAACCAGAGAAGGAAAAAATAACTGTCTTGAATCATTTGTGAAAAATAAAATTAAGTTCTTTAAATTGAAATTAGGATAAACTTTAAATATATACAGTCCTTTTAATCTGAGGAAAAAATGACTAATTTTGACAGATCCACAGAGCTAAATGTTAGAATTAAAACAAACACACAACTTCAATAGTGATAGAATGAGATTAAAGTCACAATTGTTGCATACTTATAAATTTGTAAGTTTCTTTTACATTTAGACTTAATGTGGGGCTTCTCTAACACGCCAGACCATGTCTAGTCTGTGCATTAATCTGGCCCTGGCCCTTTGAATGGAAGTATTTATGAAGCAAATCATGAATTGTTTCAGCTTAATTTCTTAGTCAACAGACATTGCTCCTACTGGCAGAAATGCCACCCTATGGGCAGCTGTTTATAATAGTAATTACTAATCATTGTATTCATACCTCATTGAAAATATTTAGAAAAGGTGAACATTTTGTAAAAAAGAATTTTTTCTGGGAAGTACTGCATGGTAAAATTGTTCAGTGTAGTGTTTTTATATATTAAAAGTGGTACCCTTTATTGAAAGAATAAGTTTTTAGTACTGTATTTACAAATTACATCAATAAAGATATAATCAAACCCTCACGTAAAGTCCTAGTGAAAGTCGTATTCTTGTT